TGCCCAGCATCTTCTTGCCTTGTCTCTCATTGGTTCACACCAAGGCAGTTAACTCCCTTGCACTTTCAGGTTGTGTAATGTAGTTCATGGTGTTTCATCCGAGCCTTCTGTTGCTGTCAAGTCGATTCTAGAGGGCTTGGAATACCCAGAAAGTCCCTGACTGGCCCCAAGTACAGGAGATGGGCAGTATTTGGGGGAGGAAGGAGGCAATCAAGAAGTCTGAGGAGGTGTACGTGAGGTTTGTATTTAATTCAGGCCTGAAGGACAGATAAGATTCTGAAACATAGGAATGATATTTTAGTATGAGCAGTGACATAGAAGAAAAATGTGTGATGTATTTAAGATCTAGCAAGTAACACAATTTGGCTACAATAGAGGTGTGACAATTTCTTGGACTAGATTTTCTTGGCATGTAATTTTTTTTTGAAAATTTTTCCTATTAAAAGTTACACTGAATGCATAACTAAATGTTTATTGCTTTGTTAGGTTTTTCATATGAATAAATTAAGCAATTGGAAAAAAAATCAGGGCCATTTCTTATAGATGTGTGAGTAGGTGGAAAGGGAGGCTGGAAATGGAGGAATCCAAATGCCAAGCTGTCCTTGATTCAGCCAGCAGTAGGAGTCCAAGGAGGATCTTGAATGGGGAATTGAGTGTGGGAAAGTGAGAGGCAAGAGAAGAGTGAAATGGTTTAAACCACTTCCAATAGTCAGATCTTATTCTGTTTCTCTTGAGGTAATCTGCATAACTCAACTGCTCTGTTGTTCACTCTTCAACATTCATCTTTGCTAGATATCCTCACAACTTTTCCTTTTTGATACATTGGTGGTAATAATAACAATGGCAATATGAGCGATAAGAATAACAAACACAACGATGGCTCATTCCCTCTCTTCATGCATCTCCCTGCTCTAATCTCGTTTTATCAAAGAGCTTCCTTGACCATCTGATCTAAACTAGCATCTCCTCAACCCTGGTTAGTCTCTAATCCCTTGCTTTCCTTCATTGTTTCTCATAGCATTAATCACTAGCTGATGTCATTATTTATTGGCTAATTTAGTTGTTTTTCTGTATATTTCTCTTAGAGAAGACTTTGTCCCTCTGATCACTCACTCCTAGTGTCTGGCCCTGTTCTAAGCACTTTATAGGATTATAATTGAATTTCATTGAGGCCAGAGAATGTGTGTACTGTATGACTCTGGTTCTTTGTAATCTGTTCAGACTTGCTTTATAGATTAGTTCATTGTCAATTTTTGAAATATTCCACGTATACATGAAAGAACATGCATTTCTTAATTGTTGGATACAAAATTTGATTTCTGTGCATTAGCTCAAGCTAATAGTATTTTTCAAATCTATAATTGTGTTGCTCAGATCCTTACTGACTTTTTTGTCTACTGAATCTATTAATTACTGAGAGAGATATGTTAAATTTCCTACTATAATTGTGGATTGATCAATTTCTCCTTAAATGTCTGTTAATATCAATTTTTTAATTATATGTTTATGGCTGAGTACACAAGTATAGAATTTTAAAGTGGTCTCAATAAATGATTGATTTATTCATTATGTGGTGATACTTTTTATCTGTACCTTATGTTGTTTTTGCCAGCTTTATTTTGCCTAGTATATCTTTTTCCATCCTCCCAATTTTGGTCTTTATGTGTCCTTGTTTTAAGTGTGTTCTTTATGACATTAAAAAAAATGACAATTTTTGTGTTTTAATTGATGTGTTTAGTCAGTTATGATTAGCAATGTATCAAATGTATTTCTACCATCTTATTTTGTTCTTTTAATTTACTCTGCTTTTTTAAAAATACTTTTTCTCTTTTCTCAACTTTTTCTTTGGATTGGTCAGGTTTTAGTTATTCTTCTTTTTCTTCTGCTAGCTTGCAGATTGTACATTTTACTTCTATTGTTTTAGTACTTACTCTCAAATTATTAAATGCATACTTGAATTAATGAAGTTTGAAGTTAATATCTACCCTACTCTTGAGCATCACAAAGACTTTAACTCCAGTTACCTCCCTCCTTCCTTTTTATATTATTGTTGTTCTGGATTTTAGTTCTACTTTATCTTCATACTCAACAAATTAGAAATTATGATTACCATGATTATTGGATTATACAGCATTTGTTTAGATTTCCTCATCTTTATCAGTCTGTTTTCTCACCCCTGTCTTCTTGCACCACAGGCTTTTCTTTCGTAGCCATTTTCATCTTCCCTGAAATAAATCCTTTAGAAGTTCCTTTAGTTCACTGAATGATAAATACTCTCAGGTTTTTGGTTGCTTGAAAATGTCTTTATTTTTTCCGTTCTTGTATAGTAGTTTAGCTGGGTATAAAATTCCATGTTGGCAGATACTTTGTCTAACACTTTGAAAAATATTATCCCACAATTTCCTGGATTCTGTTATTGACATTAAGAATTCTGCTTTCCATCTAATTGTCATTCTTATTAAGATAATCTTTTTTCTTTCTTCTAGTCCTTAATATCTTCTCTTTATCCTTGGTGTTCTTCAGTAGTAGAGAGTTGTTTCTAGTTGTGGCTTTATTTATTTATTCTGCTTGGGGTTTGTTTTACTTGGACATGAAAATTCATGTCTTTCTAAATTCTAAAAATTTCTAGTCATTTTCTTTTTGAATTTTACCTCTTCCCTATTCTCTTCTCTCCTTTCAAGGTGCTGATTAGATATATGTTGCACTTTCTCATTCTGTTTTCCAGTCCATGAACTCCTTCTAGGACTCCATTTATAAGTATGTTAGAACTTTTTAACCATGTTTTAGATGTCTCTTATAGTCTTTTTGATATTTTTACCCTTTTTTTTCTTTTTATTCTTTAGTCTGAATATTAATGATTCTGATTGACCAGGTCTGAAACTAACCAATATTTCAGTTTCTAAATCCTCCCTCTGCTTTGTCTAATTTACTTCCAAATGTACCTACTGAATTCTCAATTTTAGTAATTTTTTCTTTCTAGAATTTCCATTTGAGTCTTTTAAAACTCTATATAGTAGCAAGTTCTCTGATGACATTCTCTGTTTTGTCATTTATTTTCTTGAACATATTAATCACAGTTATTTTTAAGCCTTGTCCAGTAATTCCAATGGGTAGATCAGCTGTGGACTTGATTTTACTTGTTTGTTTTCCCTTAATTTTTGCTCATTTGGTCATGTCTTATGGCATGTGTTATAGGTTAAATTGTGTCCCCCAGATCCCCAAAATATATTGAAGTCCTAACAACCAGTACTGTGAATGTGGCTGTATTCAGAAATAGTGTCTTTACAGATGTAATTAGTTAACATGAGGTCATACTGAAGTAGAGTAGGCCCTAATTCAATACGACTTGTCCTTATAAAAAGAGGAGAAGAGACATAGAAAGATACACACGGAAGATGGCCATGTGAAGATGGAGGTAGAGATTAGATTTATGCTACCACAAGCCAAAGAACACCTGAGGCCGCCAAAAGCCAGAAGAGACAAGGAAGGATCTTCTCCTAGAGGCTTTAGAGAGAGCATGGCCCTGCAAATACCTTGAATTTGGACTTCTAGCCTCCAAGATTGTGAAGAATAAGTTTTTGTTGTTTTAAGTCATCCAGTTTGTGGTACTTTGTTACATGGCAGCCCAAAGAAGCTAATACAGCATGCCTGGTAGTTTTTCATTGAATTCTGGACATTATATATGAAAAATTATAGAGACTTTGGATAATACTGTCTTCCTGTGGAGAGAATTTAATTTTTTTTTTTTCCTGGTGGGTAGTTACAGTAGGGGGCAGATCCAGTCAGAGACTGAGGTAGTTTAAGATGAAGTTTCATGGTTGGTCTATTTCCAGTTTGCCTTTGTTTCAAAGAAGTAATCCTTTAGGATTTTCAGCTGAGGGCTTTAGTTACTTTAGTTACCTCCTCTTGGTGAGCCCTGAATTCTAAGTTTAGTTTTCCCAGTGAATCTACTGAAAGCTCAGCTTAGTATTGTAGCCTCTTGACAGCTGTTTTCTTGCCCTTGAACAGACTAGGACTCATCGAGTGCCTCAGGGGTAAAAACCATGCAGAATATCAGACTCATTCCTCTTTGGTTCCCTTTTCTCTGGAAAATTTTACCCACAAATCCTGGCTTCTGAAGTAGCCCTGAACTACATTTTTGTCTCCCAATCCCAGTGGAACTGTCACAAACTCTAGGCCACAGCATTCTGCTTATTCCAAATGGCCTGAGAGGAAAACACAAGGGGAAATGTTTGGCTCACCTCAGTGCATTTGCTTTCTCTCCAGGGTCCTGGCTCCTTAAGACCTGACTGTCTTAATTACCTTAGCTGATCTCTGATATATTCAGAGAGCTGTTTTTGTAAAAAAATTATTCAGATTTTACATGGTTTAAATTTTATAGTATTCTCTATAAAACTCTGGAAGATGGGAGATTTGGTGTGATATTTGTATACTTTATTCAGCATTTTAAGGTGTTTGTTCGGCAAGGATTTTCAAATTATCTAGTTCTCCATAATTTCAGAATTAAGTCTTAGCTCACATAATTTATGTGCCTGACTTATATGTAATAAGACTCAATAAATGTTATCTGTTATTAAATATCATCATCAGCATTATTGTTTCCACAAAGATACAAAACCTCAACATTTGGGTAAGAACAAATTATAACCTTTGATGATAACTGGTGGAATGACTGTGTGTATGGTTACTGGACGTGGTGCTATGTAGATCATGCTGCAGAAACACGATAAAATTTGGCCTGTTGAAGTAGTTAAAAGCACATTGCCCGTTTTCCAACTGCATGTTCCTCTCCCTTTAAAGCCTTTATTCAACTCCTATTTCCCCAGAGAAACTAGCAAATATTGTATCTTTGTAATCTTTTAAACATTGAAAGATATACCTATGGGAATACATATTTTTGTGTATATCACTTTATATACAACCATATATATTATTTACATTTGGATTTAAAATTTTTATATTTTGCATGAAGCTGCATATCCATTTTTTGCCTTTTGTAGGAGGATACTCCATCGAGACTTGAAATCAAAGAATATATTTCTGAAAAATAACCTGCTTAAAATTGGTAAGATTTTTTTTCTATTATCTATTCCAAACACATGGAAGAGTATATTCTAAATGTTATCAGTATATCAAGTTGAAGTATATGGTACCTAGAAGTACTGGAGTAATCACTGGTTGATTTAAACTTCTCAAAGTTTTGGTCTTACCAGGTTGGGCCCAGTTTAAAAAAAAATACTTTGTTCCTGATTATCTGGCATAAATTGAGGGATAAAACATTTTCTATGTATTTGGTAGTTTCTAGGTAAATTTGGAAACCCTTGGTTGCATAGTGGTTAAGTGCTATGGCTGCTAACCAAAAGGGCGGCAGTTTGAATCCACAAGGCACTCCTTGGAAACCGTATGGGGGTAGTTCTGCTCTGTCCTGTAGGGTTGCTATGAGTCAGCATTGACTCCACGGCAAGGGTTTTTTAGGTAAATTTATCCATTCAGCAAATATTTTTTGAGTTCCTACTCTATGCCAAGCACTTTGCTGGTAGTTAGGCTGTTTACTGGTTTGAATCATTACTATAGGATTCTTGCTTATTTTATCACAAACAATAAGCAGTTATCGTAGATAATTAAACATATTGATATAATAGCGTTATTAACCTTTAGTTCTTCTTCTTTAGAACTCCAGCCTTACTCATAACAGTTAGTTACTAGATCAATTAATCTTTACATAGGATGCTTTTAGAAAGGAAAGGCAGAAAAGCATGCAACGTATCAGGCAAGAATAGAGAAGCTGATAGATTCAGATTTTTATAGTTGTATTCTTGAAAAGTCTCAGGTCTTTTATTTAAAAATTTTTCTTTATTGTAATTAAGAACAAACTCTCCCCCTCCAAAATAAATAACCTATCTTTAAAGTCATTCCTTCCAGAATCATTCTGTTTGCTGTTATTCAGACTTGAAATAGCTTCTTGCTTGAAGTTTTCTAGATCTCCATAATTCCAGATATAAAAAGTCTTAGCTTACATAATTCACTTGCCTGGCTCATAGCCTTCCTCATCCTATAAGGCTTTTGTTTTAAAGCTATTCACCAGCATTGTGTAATTTAAAATATATCATTTTTCTTTTGTTTTCCTTTAACATGGTATGAATCATAGCATATGAAAATGGTCAAATTAGACACTCACTCAATTGTTCATTTCCAGTGCTGATTTTTGTTGTTTGAAAGTTCTCATACAAATTAATTCTTATTTTGAGGGGATTTTGGAGTCTCTCGACTCCTAATGGGACCCTGTGACCTGGCGACAACTTTAACTGGAACTCCCCATTACATGAGTCCGGAGGCTCTGAAGCACCAAGGCTATGACACAAAGTCGGACATCTGGTGAGTGAGTCACAGGCTGGTCCAGGTGATTCTTCATCTGCTGCCCTGCAGGAATGCTGCGTTTGTTTTCAGGCTCACTTACTCACTACACCCACTCACTTTATCCTTTTGATATATGAGTCATTATGTGACCAGAGCAAAAGAAGGCCTTTTGGGTTTGAAACATGATCTATTCCATTAAATTGGTTTTTCAAAATTCTCTTTATTTATGAGTTAATTGGTTGGTTTGAGTTTTTCTTCCTGAACCACAAGGGAAAATTCTTAATGTACTATAAGCCTTAAATTTTGAAACGTTTCTGCTAGCCTATTAAGTAAAGCATTTGTAACCCTAAATACTGTACTTTATTTTATTTTAAAGTTAACTCCCAAATCTGTGGGGAATGTACAGCTTTTCTTTCTTTTTTTTTTTTATTCTTGTTACTTTTAAGAATTTTTACTAGTGATATTGACTTTAAGGATAAGCTTAAATTTAAAAAATTGTGGGTTTTCAGTGATAGATGTATCTGAGATTTCTCAGTTGTTGTGTGCTTATGCACAAAAGGAATTTCTGTTTCCTTCTCATGGAACCGGTTTAAATCTCATAGCAGAAGCCGTGTGAAAAATTGCATTCACTGTGTTCTGTTGTAAGCAGTAAGATCCTATTTGGGGAAAATTTCTTTCCCTTTGAAGGGGAATCTTACATAATTTTCAGCTTGTTAAGGGTTGAAAGGACCATTTAGTTGAGAACCTTATTAATTAACTAAATAATTATTGTATGCAAATCAATGTAATTAGTTCTGCTTTCAAAAACAAGCCATGTGGAAGATGTGCCCACTTCATTCTTTTGAAGGAAATAAAGTAGAAATTTATCTTTTTCTCTGACTGGGGAAGGGTGAACACTACAGAGGATGTGGGTTGGCATTTTCTTAAGGGTCATTAACTCCTGTTCTCTGACATGAGAGAAAAATCTGTCAAGAGTAGGTCTGGCTAGGACCATTCCTCATCTGCCCTGTCCTTTCAGTTCACTCCTGTGATTATTCATTTCTAGGTTCTTCACTGGGTTTTTTGTTTTTTAAATTTTACTGTGCTTTAGGTAAAAGTTTATAGTGCAAATTAGTTTCTCATTCAAAAATTTATACACAAATTGTTTTGTGACATTGGTTGCAATCCCTGCACTGTGTCAGCACTTTCCCCCTTCCCACCTCGTGTTCCCTGTGTCTATTCATCCAGTTTTCCTGTCCCATCCTACCTTTTTATCTTTGCTTTTGGTCAGGTGTTGTCCACTTCATCTCGTATACTTGTTTGAAGTAAGAAGCACGTTCCTCACATGGGTTATTGTTTGTTTTATAGGCCTGGCTAATCTTTGGCTGAAAGGTGGAGTTCAGGAGCGGCCTCAGTTCGGAGTTAGTAGGGTGTCTGGGGGCCATAGTCTGGTGGGGGAGGTTCCCTCCATTCACTGGGTTTTCTAACCCTGAAGATCTTTTCCAATTTGCCTATCGTCTTCCCTCTGTCACATTCCTCCCCTGAACTCCCTAAAAAAGCAAACAAAAAACCCAAACCAAACAGAATCACAAAGGTATGTTCAGAGGAATGAGTTCTTCCATTTTTATTTTATTGAGCATCTGCTATTTGCCCTGGACTATGCAGTGGCCCTTAGGGTATAAGAACAAAAATGATAGTATTTCTGCCCCTCAGGAGAAATCTTCTTGCTCTTTCTGGAGTCCCTTTCTACTGGTTTGAGAAAATCAATGTTGGGTTTCCGACTGAATTTTTGTTAACGTACCTACATCTGTCTTGACACTTAATATTTTTATTATTATGGGCGTTTAAAAAATATTCAAATATATAATTTCTTCATATTTTAAGATTACATGGTATCTCAGGAAGGTATTACATCATGTTATTTGAATAAAAGTAACTTAAATTATGAAGCCCATCATTTATGTTTTTGGAATTACATGTGCAATTGGCTCTCCATATCTGTGAGTTCTACATCCATGAATTCAACCAACCATGGATCGAAATATTTGGGGGGAAAAAAAAGAAAGTTCCAAAAAGCAAAACTTGAATTTCCTGTGTGCTGAGCACTACACTGAATCCACGCAAATGAAGTGATGTGTAGTCATACCCTCCTGTAGCCTCCTGCCATCTCACAGATCCTCAGTCTCTCTCCAGCACTCATTTCAGCATTGTTCGCCTCATGTCTTGTCATTATTCCTTAAAATACAGTATAACAGCTATTTGCATAGCATTTGCATTGTATTAGGTATTATAAGTAATCTAGAGATGATTTAAAGTATACAGGAGGATGTGTGTAGGTTATATGCAAATAGTACGCCATTTTATTTAAGAGACTTGAGCATCCTCGGATTTTGGTATCTTCAGGGGTCCTGGAACCAACCTCCTCAGATACCAAGGGACGACTGTAGCAAGAAAGCTGGCTCCTTTTGACAGGTATCTACATCTGCTTGCCACATAAGATGGATGTCTACTAGAAAACTGAAGCAACAGGACCCGCAGAGAAAAGCAGAGTCTTCGTCTTGATTGTAACTATGTTATTTGTCTTTTTAATAATTGCTCCTAGTACTGCATAAAGAATTATAGAAACATCAGACAGTATTGGTATGTTTTAGGGTTACAAAAGTGATCTCTGACTCAGGAAAAACTTAAAATAGCCAAAACCTCGCAAATATAAAAATGCAGGAGGATTTTAATATATTGCTCTGAGTATTAGGTCAGCTCTCCTTGCAGAGATTATTAACTATTCAGCAAGTACAAACTGAGGCTTTATCATCATCCTGACCCCAAATAACTACTTAATTATGAATTTAATAAGTTTCTTGATTGTATCAGAATCAAAATGCGCTTATCTGGTAATGGAATTTGTACTACCAAACCTAAAGTGGAAAGAATAACAGAACTATTAATGATAGTGGCAGATACATAAGTGTGATGAGTAATCTTTGAGAGACACTCTTAGAAAATTTAGATTGAATGCGGTTAAGAACCGTGCTCTGAATCTCAGTGTGTAGTGTCTGTTTATTGTGGAATATTTCTTAGGCTTGGAAAGACTTATGAATAATTGACAGGTGTTTTGCTTTAGCACTAATGACTGTACACAGTATATTTATAATACTTGAAGAAATTGATCCTAATGCTAATTATGTTTTCATCTGTTAGTGTTTGCCCAAATATAAACTTATCCTCCTGCAATCTGTTAAACCTTTCTGGATTCATTTGTTTGTAGCAATCAAGTGCAGGAAGTCCCTCTCCTAAAAATGGGTTAAGTTCAAGAAGTTTTTAAATGGTTATTTGGAAAACCAGGATAATTAGGTTCATCAAGGACAATACCTTGAACATAGCTGATATTTATAAGCAATTGCTGAACACTTTTCCCCCAGAGGAAAAATATAATATATGAATTGGGTTCGTAGATCAGCTGTTAAAATTGATTTAACATGAATAATTAGAATTTTTTATTTTGGTAGGAGAAACAAATAAAGGACATGCTATTGGAATAACGGTAGTGTGATTAACCAGAAAGGAACCAGAATATTTCACTCTCAGTCTTATATATCTTGATGTGCAAGGTCAACCAGATGGCTCTTTGATCTTGTGGGCCTATATTTTTGGATGATTAAGTGGAGGGAATGGTGGTGGGAGTGTGGTGGTGGAAATAGTGGGGGTGTCAGAGTGGACTGTGTTTAGCTCTCTGGGATTTGCTTAGAGATCTAGTGCTGAGGTTGGGTGGGTAGAGAACACTGGAAGAATGTAGTTCACACCTAAAGTTGGAGTCAGGCTTTATTGATCTTGGGCAGAAGTGTCGGAAAGGCTTAGCTCTGGGTAAAGAAAATAGAGAACCAGCATTTGCCTGGCTGGCAGGGTCAAGCAAGTGTCCTCACAGGAGAGCATTCCCAGGGTGGACAGGGAGAGGGGGAACAGAATAGACTATTTGCTGGTGAAGGATTTAGAAAGGGGAGAAATACAGGCCAGCTCTCACCACCATGCAGGAACTGTGTCTCCTCAAAGCTTTGTTGGTAGAATTAGAGATTTTTACTTTGTTGTTGTTGTTGATAAACAGTAAATCGGCAAATTTGTATGCCCTTGTTCTGTCAATCTGAGGGAATGTAGGAGAGGAGTATTAGCTCAAATTTTTCTTCCATTCCTTTTACCGAAGAGAAACTTGCTTGTGTTAACAGACTTTTATTTTTAAAAATGCAGATCTTGGCAAATGTTAAATCTCCAGTCACCACACTTCATTGTCATTTATTTCTGAAATTCACTTGTTTTCATCAGAATCCCTCATTGAGACCAGTAATTCCATAGGAGGTAAAGTTGGGGTTGACTCTCCCCAGTTTCAGGACTAGGCATTTTTCAGCAGCGGTATCTCAGGCAAGGAAAGAGTGGAGACATGGGAGCCTGGGGAGGGCCTGTGTCTCTGAGGAAAGAGGCTTATGGATGGGGGTAGAAGGTAAACCACTCTCATGATCCTTAGGGGCATGCAAGAGATTGTATTTTCTAAAGATGGCTGTTATAATATAGTCCTTCCCACATGTTCTTTTTACAATGTTATGTTGACACTATTCCTATTGAGAGGGGGGATTTCTGTTCCCTCCCCTTTAATTTGTGTACACCTGCAGTTATACAAAATTCTAGGTCATAAAAAGGTGACACAGCTTCTACCTTGTCTTCTTGGGATCCTTGCTCTTAGAACCTTGCTACCATGTTGTGAGGAAGCCCGAGCAGTTCATGGAGAAGCCCCTGAAGAGACATCCACAAGAGAGGAACCAAGGCCTTTGGTCCTTACACCTGACTGGGCTTCCAACTGATAGCCAACACCAGTTGGCCAGTCATATGGGTGAGCCATCTTGGAAATGGATCCTGGAGCCTCAGTTGGGCCTCTCCAGTGAATGTCGTAGGGAACAGATTCAAGTCTTCCCGACAAGCTCTGACCAAACAGATTCATGAGCAAAATTACTGATTGTTGCTGTTTAAAACCACTAAATTTGGGGGTTGATTTG